GCGGTCGACTACGTGGGAGTCCAGCGACATAGCCATTACGCTAACTGCTGGTTCCCTTCATATGTCATCTTTAGAGAGTGTTTTTTTTTCAACTCATTCTCCCATTTTTTAATAGGGTTGATTGTCTTTTTTTGGAACAGCTATATCCATTTTGTAATCCATATAATAATGTAATTGAAAGTATAAAAGAAAGTGAAATAAAAACGTTTTAAAAAAATAAAAAATAATTTTAAAACAAATAAATAAATAATAAACTAAATAATTTTTTTTCTTTTTTTCTCTTTTTTTCTTCACTCTTTTTTTTCCTCTTTCTCTGTTTTCTTATCCTTTTTCTTTTGCCTCATTACTTCACTGCTCGGCCTCCATGCACTAAGTGTCTACACTGGTCTAAGTGAACCGTAGCCGAACATCTGAATACTAAAGGGGTCAACATAGTCCTCAATTCTCACTGAATCCGCTGCACAAAGGAAACAAAATGGAATGGCAAAGAGATTGCAGATCACCTCCTTCTGCATGCTTCTGAATGCTCAGATTGAATTTCTAGAAATTTAGAAGAAACATATAACCCATTAGATGACCAAAAATCACCACAGAAGCACAAGAAATATGAGAAACCAAGAAAATATCTCTCCCCATAGGGAAAAGAATAACTCCTCTTCATCCACAGACACTACAATGGCACACGTGGAAATGTCTAATAAGGAATTTAGAATATTCTGGGACCAGCAGTTGGCGTAATGGCTATGTCACTGGGCTCCCATGTAGTTGACCGTGGTTCAAGTCCTGGACACGGCAGCTTAAATTCATGCTGGGTGTGTGTGCATGCGTGCCCAAGATCCTGAGGGGAGAATGGAGGAGAAGGGATTGCTGCATGGCCATCCCCCTGGGGGGGATTTCTCGCTTTCTGTCTCTCTGTCTTTCTGGTGAGCGCACATACCCTGTAGCAAAACCTCTCAAAAAAAAAAAAAAAAGAATTTAGAATATTCTTTAGTGACAAAGCTAACAGAGATGCAAGAGAAGAGAAAGAATGAACTCCAGAAGAGGCAGGAGAAAGGAGCAGATGAGTTCCAGGAGGTGAGGAAGTTCTTGCAAAATCTGAAAGAGGAAATAAGCACCATAAAAAAGAATCAAATGGAACTATTAGAAATGAAGGCTATAATACAAGAAGTCAAAATCTCCCTCGAAAATATTAAAAGCAGACTAGATCATACAGAAGATCGAATCTCAAATGTAGAAGTCAGAATCACTGGCCTAGAAAACTCCACCACGAAGACTGAGAAAATAGTCTAAAAAATTGAGAAATATATACAAGAAATACTAGATACCATCAAATGTCCAAACATCCAGATAATTGGTATCCCTGAAGGTGAAGAGACTCATAAGGGCATTGATCATCTTTTCCATGAAATCTTGCAAGAAAACTTTCCAAACCTAGAGAGGCATTCAAAAATCCACACCCAAGAAATACAGAGGACCCCAAATAGAATCAACTCAAGAAGATCTTCTCCAAGGCACATCATAGCCAGATTGACTAAAACCACAAAGACAGGATACTAAGATTGGCAAGACAGAAATGTCAAGTTACCTACAAAGGATATCCCATCAGGCTAAGAGAAGATCTCTCATTAGAACCAATGTGAGCAAAGAAAGAGTGGGAAAATAAATTAGAAGTGTTAAGTGAAAAACAATTTCAACCAAGAGTACTGTACCTGGCAAGATTATCCTTTATATGAGAAGAGAAGACAAGAACATTCTCAGATAAACAAAACCTGAAAGAATTTACCAACACCAGACCAGCTCTCCAAGAAATTCTGAAGGGAGTGGAGTGCTATATCAGGAAAGCTGAAGTCAGACACACAGAAATAAGAGTTCAAGCACAACTAAGAAAACGGCCAGCTTAACAGTAGAGACAAGTCTGGAGTTGAACGTTACATTCCAGAATTTACTTTTATTATTATTACTATTTATACATTCAATCGCTATACATCATTTAGATTGTAAAGAGATTTTACCCAGCATGATACACATCTAAGTCCAGTTGAGAATACTAACACATCCTCATCAACATATAACGAACTATATCTGTGTCCCACAAATATCTCTCCATTTTTTTCCCCTAATTTCCTTTCCTGCGCTCTTCCCCTCTCACTCTCCTTCCACTTTGTCTCTAGTGTCCATAACAATTTTAAATGCTTTTATGTCCTCCAGTCTTTCAGTCTCTACCATAGAGGGCAGAAATGGCAGAGGGTGAGAACACACACACAAGAAATGAGGGACCAGCAAGTGGCATGGTGGTTAAGGCACTGGACACTCCCACCTGGCTGACCACAGTTCAAAATGTGGACCTGGTGGCTTATTTTCTCTCTTTCTCTCTCCTCTCTCTCTCTATCTCTCTCTCAAACACACACATCTCTGCCTCTCTCTGGTTAAATTAAAATAAATGAATGAAAAATAAAATTAAATAAAATAATTATTAAAAAAAGAAATAAGAAATGGAAAATTATTTGTTGATGATCACATGTATGATTAAGCTACTATACCGTGTATTCTGGATGGGAAATCACATTTTGTATGCTGTGATGGTCAGTGAGTGGATGTAAAATAAATAAATAAATACGTAAATAAACATAAAAATAAAAAGTGTGGTATTGGGACCAGAGGATGGCATAACAGTTACGTCGCTGGACTCCCACATAGTCAACCACATTTTGAGTCCTGGACCCAGCAGTTTGAAATTCACACTGGGTGCTTGTGTGTGCATGACCAAAATCCTGAAAGGAGAATGGAGAAGGGACTGTGGCATGGCCATCCCTAGAGGGTGATTTCTCACTTTTTGTCTCTCTGTTTCTCTCTCTCTCTAGTGAGTGCACATACTCTATAGCAAAAACTCTCAAAAAAAAAAAATGTGCAGTATTTGTTCTTCTCCTCTTAGGAGTAGAGAAGAACTTGGAAATAGCCTCCATCAGTTGGGATTCTCCAGGGAAGGAACCAACCGGAGGGTGGGAATGGGCTGCGCAATCCTGGAGGCTGGGCCATCTCCACATCTGCTCTGCACTGGGGGACCAGGAGAGCCATGGCATCGTTCAGTGCAAAGCACGTCTACAGGCCTGAGAACCCGAGGAGGTGGCTGGGGCACTGGAGTTAGACCCAGAGTCCAAAGGCCTGAGAGCCCAGAACTTGGATGCCTGTAGCAGGAGGAGATGGAGGCCCCAGCTCTGGAAGAGACAAGGTTTTCCCCTCCTCTTCCTTTTCACTGGATCTGAGGATGCCTACCCGCACTGCCAAGGGCAGTCTTCCGCCAGCCTGCTGATTCCAAAGCTCTTCCTTCCTGGAACCACTCACATGCGCACTCAGAACCAACGCTGTCTCCACTGAGCAGATGGTCACACTGACACAAAAACTAAGCACCACACAGTCCAGTGTGATGAGGCGATGGGGAGGGAGGGAGGGAGGACTGGATTCCTGCACAGGACTTCTACCTGGGTCTCAACTCCACACCAAAATGTGTGCAGTGTGGCCCATTAGGGCGGGACCCTGACATGCGGAAGGCCAGCCCTCACGATAAGTGGGCACACGCTGCCTGGGCCCTGGAGCGTGCAGGCGAGCATACATGTGGAATGTGACCTTATGTGGAAGCAGGGGCTGTGCAAACGCAGTGAGGTTAAGGCTCTCACCTTGGCATCGGAGTGGATGTGGGACAAACCCCAGTCTGACTGGTGTCCTGTGTAGACGAGGGCCTGCCACCTGAGGGCGAAGGCAGAGGCCGCAGTACTATCAGGAGCTGCCGGAGCTGGAGAGAGACCTTTAGAAAGCACGCCAGTGCCAAGGCCAGACATCCAGTGGGCTCGAGTCTCTGAGCATTTAAGTTAGAAGGAGGAGACACCACGTAGCTCTCCAGAACGCCAGGACCGGGAGGTCACCAGCCACAGAGGTGACCTGGAGCAGAGGTGTGGTATGTGCCATGTACAGGACCATGGAGAGGCAGAGCTGGAGGCACGAGGTCACTGGCATTGGGACATGGCTGGCCAGTCCAGGGGAAGGGGACAGCCACAGGCCAGGCTGGTCTGGGAGAAAGGGAGCTGTCTGGAGGAGACCAGGGACTGACATTCGAGGCCACAGTCCCTCCAAGGCATAGGGCCTGGCAACCTCAACAGGGGATGGGACTCGAGCCCTCAGCCATATCTGGGGGACCTGAAGACCAGCTGTCGCCACCAAGAGTTGATGTCCTGGTCGAGGTCAAAGGATTTAAGTTCACGTGCAGCCCTAGGCTGATCCCAGTCACCCTGCAAGCCCCAACACTGGGCCGACCGCAGGCTGGAGGGACGGCTTGGGACTGCGTCGAGCTGAGTTCAGATACAGGGAACTTCCAGGCCAGTGCAGGAGTCTGTCAGCGGACAGGTGTATTTGAGCATGCGACCCTCGCTGCATCCACACAGATTTGCTCCCTCACCTCCTTCACAGGCGATGAGCAAACCCTGAGAAGGTCCCAATGGTCTACAGGACTCTGAGAACTGGTGCTTCTGTCCTGTGGACAGGCTGGCCCTGCAGAGAATTTCTGCCAAATTTGCTCCATTACCTGGTTTT